ACGTAATTAGCATATAATGCTGAAATTGTGGATCTTAATTAATATCATAAGAAAATAAATATGCATATTTGGTAAATTCTCTGATGTGTCTAATACACCAGCACAGCATGGCCCGTTAGTTCCAGGACAGTGGATTGCAGACAGGGGGATATGTTCTCTTTGTAGCTGCTTAGTATGCATGCGCAGGAAAAAGATTAATGCAAAATGTTGTCAAAAGAAAAGTGATAAGACAGAGCGATGAAATTTGAAGTCTAATTCCAAGAATGCAAAGAAAATTGCATTATGGCTTAATGAAAACATTCATGCAACAGACAGACAGGATTTTTAATTATTGCATTACTGCGTTCTGGATTCTAATGTCCACTATATAAGAAAGGTATTAGAAAACAGTGATATTTTCCATATTGTCAGTTAGGCTAGCTGTTGATTGAAAATCAGGAATTATAACAGCATAACTATTTTTGGAGTCTGGAATTTCCAGCCAAGGTTGCGGAGATACAGAGACATGTAAACATTCCAAGGAATTGAGAAGTCGTTGTTTTATATTCCAAATTATGAACAACAATATTACATACAGCCATAAAGAGAAAGACATGGCTATTAAATACATTGAGTGCAGTACAATGCAGTACACTGCAGCATATATATTATATAATATATAATTAACTAGCTCATATTTTTTCCTAAACAGAGTTGAAATTATACTACCCTCCTAGAAAAAGGGCAACAGGTGGTTATACATCCTTTGCTTCTCTAAATGCTATGCAAAAATAAATATTTATAAAATTATTAAAAATAATATATATGTAAGATAAATCAGGGCGAAATAAAATTGTAACTAGACAGGATCTCTGATAACTTTTAAACAGAAATTACTAAAGGATTATTTAAATAAAATGTTAAATACATTTACAGCTTTAAATGTGACCAAGAGATATTAAATGATGTGTTAAGCAGCCAGACCAATTCACTAGAATAGCCAGTCTTCTACTATTTAAAGTGCACAATTCCTGCACATAATGACTTTGCTTACACAGGTACAGTCTTTAGTCTATTGCAATGGCAGTAAAGTCCACCAATTTTAAAAGGGAAAGCTTACTTAAATCAGTGGTACTATCCCACCGTACTAGCAGTAAGGAAATTAGAACAATGATATTGTACTACTGAATGTAATCAGATCAGACACATGTAATCTCATAAACTAGGTTTTCATAAAATATAAAATTCAATTTCAAACTTGTTTATATATAAATATATCAGTGTTGTTTATAAATAAAAGTATATAGACTAGGCAATAACAACATTTACATGCATTCAGCAGCCTGCTCTCTCAAAGCCAGAAACGGATTTATAAACAAATAATAAGTAGGTTCTAAAAAGTCCACAGTCAACCACACATGAAGGGTGAAATAATTGCTTCACTAAAAACTATATGCTGTCGCAATTATGTATATAAATACAGATTAGGGTACAGCGTAGAAATAAAAATACAGTTTCAAATCTCATATATGGGGATTCAGTTCCACCACATATTCTACAATTCTGAAAGAGGCTAATTTTAATAATATGTTGTAATAGCATTGTGAATATATATGATGCAAAATTAATTTGATATTGCAAAGCCTGCAATATTCTAAACAGACATTAAAATTTAAGAAAAAAAGAAAAATAATAATGCATAAAAAAAATGCAGTGTCAATTAAAGTGATAATACTCTGATATATTAAATCACATTGCATATCCCATATCTGCTATATGAAAAGTATAATTAAGGTCCAATGCCCCCTCACATCTATTTTATAGAATCTATACTTTTCAGTGGTCACCTCCAAAGAAGCCTCGGAAACTGGGGGTCTCAGAGGGGTGCTCATCCCAAAAGGAATCAGATTCCAGACTTAAAGAAAAATAAATGATAGAAAAGGAATCACGGGAACACCCAGAACATGCATTTTTGTATATAATCTTAATTTGCAGATATTTTATGCCTTAAAGACATAATTAAATATTTAGACATAATTTAATTAAATATGCAGGTATCTTTAAAAATCAAGCAATGTTAAAAAAAAATAAATAAATAAATAAATAATAATAATAAAAAATATATTTTACACCACAATATAAACAGCTTTGTTAAGCAGATTCAAGTACAAGTACTTATGTCAAGAAATATACGGACACCATTACAATATTGCTTTGCCGATTGAGGTCAGAGATTTAAAGAATAAATGTTCTATAGCTCGCTAGACCACTGGCTTTTAATGAACAGTTTGCATGACACTTATAAAATAGTTTGTTATACTGCACATTATAGCTGTGACAACATGACACACATGGTAACAATGCTATGTCACTGTTTAATAGACTTACCCAGTATTTAAGGACGACATGTTTCTTGCAAAGTCATTGGGACTTTGAGGGAGGTTCTAACTACGTTTAATTAATTAACTTACTAAAGAAAAAAGAAAAAAATAAGGTTTTGGTTTTCCCCTGCAAGTGAGTTTTCAGCGCAAGGTCATTTTGTGTTCACAGACTATTCGGATTTAAAAAAAAAAAAAGCTGTTCTTTATCTCACATTATGAAAGGCCTTGTAATTCCTATGCACACTAAAAGTTGGCTTTTAAATGTTATTGTTTTAACTTTAATATTTCATAGTTAATACAGAGGATAAAGTAATATAAAGAAAGTATATTAATTGATAAGATTTCATTTATCTATTTTGGTCCACTGTTCACTGATCTCGAATCTCAGTCTGGTGTTCAAACAGTTTTTCTTACGATACGTCGTGAGTTTATATCCACAACTGCGTTTTGCTTTGTGATAACAAATTGAAAGCCTGGCATTGTAATACGTGTATGGACATGCTTATAACAAAGCATGGGCCCTCTCCTCATGTAGTTGGTCATTAACAGGCACTTTGATGCAATGTGTCTACCAACGCTTTTCTGTGGTCACTGCATCACATCGCATACCCTATCTCTCTGTCATGATGCAGAGTTTATGCTTGCAAGGATATCCAGACCTTATCCACCTGGTATCCGTATAAATACTCCTATCGTTTAGAGGGGTTAATTACATAGTAACCATTGAAGGTAATATGTTGGTTGTTCTTCCTATAGATGAAAGATAGACTTGCCCAAAAGCTTTTTCATGGCTAGGACAAGCTCTTATAGAGAGAGATAATGTACTTCTGACTCCTGAAAAGGAATATTGGTGGTCACAATATGGGAAATACTGTAATTCATGTGTTTAGTAATCATAAGCATTTGCTTATTGCTACATTACTGATGTACTGTTTATTGAAAAATTAATATCTAACATACTTTTTGAATTACTATATATTGGAAGTGTGCCAACATCTCATGGTTATAAATATGTTTTTGTATGTGTTGATGCATGTACAAGGTTTACTTGGATAAATCCTGTGTGAAGTGCAACCTCTGATACCACGTTTTATAGTCTCACTTCCTTAGTATGCATTTGATAATCCCAGGACCATCCATTTGGATGGTGGTCCTGCAGTTACTGCAAAGGAAACCTAAAACTGGGCAACCACATTTGGGTTACTTTGGGATTTCAGTGCCCCAACCACCCCCAAAAAAGTGGGGTTGTGGTCTGGGAAAATGCTGAGGTTAAATGATTATTAACCAAGTTACTAGTTGCTTGCCCCACACAGTGGTATCTATTTATTCCTATGGTACAGATAAGAATTCACAACATACCTGATGATACAAATGGTGAGACACCATATGAAATGTTACATGTTTTTTCACTGACAATTATATTTCTGCACCAGGGAGAGCTTAGAACCATTGGTTCTATTAGAGAAATTTAGGAATTTTTTTTTTCCAGCCCACCACGCCTTGCACCACCGACTTTTTTCTACTGTTGGCCAGTTTGTCCTGGAGAGGGTGACTCCGAGAACTTTTACTACAGAGAACAATCAGAGCCAACAGAGAACAGTGAATGCTGTTAAAGATGACAAGATAAAACAAACAGAGGACGACAGAAAAGGCACCAGAATCACAGCCACGTAACAGACTGAATCATGATCTGACATCTGAACCTGCAAATGTGAAGGAGAAGGATGAACAGACAGACGTGATACATTCACAGTTAACATGGAATGTATGAAAAATGAATCATCAACATCATTATAAGAAAGACTCTGGAGAAAACAGACTGAACCTGAATTATCTTATACAGTAAGAAAGAAATGCAAAGATGGAAGCAAAAGGATGCTAGAAAACTGGTTATGGTGTCTCCTTCCTACAATCTGCAGCCTACAATGATTGCCTACACTGGTATTTCACAAGGAACCTATTAAGATCATTCCAAAAAAACGATTATACACGAGAAACATGTGATTGGACTATTACAAATCCTAATAATGGACTCAACGATGATGGCAAAGCATGCTGAAAACAGGAAAAGACGGGAAAGATGTTTGTGTAAGACTTTGGATGCACCTATGAAGGTGATGCAAGAAAAGACTTTGCCATATAGTTTATCATTGAGTGACTACCACAAACAGCCTTCTTATGCTGAAAAGAAGTGCTATGCTAATTCTGGACATTGCAATTATGTATCCAGACAGAAGATGACCGGAAAAAGAAATAAAGGCTGATAACTGTCAACACCCAGCTGTTTTTCAAGATGGAACATGGTACTGAGAAAACCTGATAGACTATCAAAGCACCTCACAGTACAAGACAGATTGTTACCTACAACTCAGAAAAAGGAAGGAGCAGAAGAAGAGGAAAATAGATTTCCTACTGGAGTGAAAAACCATACTGGAACAATATTCTGTAACAATGAACTTTACAATGACATTTGGTGGCATATGAATTTGAATTTGGTAGAAACACATCAATTAATGAAAGAAACCTTGATGCAATTAATAAATAATAACAATACCGGCCTACTAAGAGCAGATGCCCTGACAAGAGAATGGAATATAAAAAGACCAGCAAAACCTGTCAGAAACCTGACATCACGGGACACTTGTACTAAAGCACGATTTGCAGCCTTTCTTAAACTCTACAAATTATGTACATACCTGCAAAGCAAGGAACTCCTGTAAACATAAACACAGAGACATTGATACAACAAAGAATATGTAATGGTTCAGTTGCAGATGTGATCTACCAATGTACTCCTTGCTCTTTTTGTATAACTATACCAATCAAAACATTAAATGGCTCTCTAGGACCATAGACCAAGGATTCTTGCTATATTCTGGACTTCCAGGAATGTGGTGCATGGACAGAAAAATTATAACTACTAAAGCAATCATGCTATTTTTTTTCCCTGTATCAGAAATGTGTCAGTGACAATGTGTAATATAATAGAGATACTATAATTAATGGTATAAGAAACACATAATGTGTTAATTACAAAGGTGGATAGACTTTGTGAATATCTGAAACGCAATTGAAGATTATTGCTAAAATGCCATATGCAGCTGCAGTCTGGCCTACAACCAAATATATTAAACATACGTAGAAGAGTATAACAGCTAATTAACCAGATAAATAATTGAATCATGATAGTTAAAGATCATATGATTGCAATAACAACTGCAATAATGAATGTTTTACCCTTAAAAGAAAATGTTATTTGGTTTGTAATGGTTAAAGGTACATAAACCACCTATACAAAGGTAGAGTTAAAATATAAATACATTCAATATTGTATCAGAGTGCTTTCTTAACTCACTTTTAGAAATAATAATACATTCTAATCATCTTAAGCTACACCCAACAGCCGCTGGTAAATATACTTAAACAATTAAGATTCACATTGTTAAGCAACCAATCTCACAAACGTAAAAAAAAGTTTTCTAAGACACATTTTTGGGGTTTCTGTTATTTTAAGCCACTAATAACTGTAGTTATTATATTTACTAATAATAACCAGGGAATAAGTTGTCTTCTCCCTAACAGGTCAAAGAAAGATAATTAACGTCATATTTCCAATTAGCAACTATTCTAAATAGATTAAGAGATTTTGAATAAAAGAGTATTTTTAACAGTTAAAGAGAATATAATTGTACATACCATTGTGAACAAAGGTGGTAAATGCTGCTTCAAATTATCCTTATATTTCTAAAATCATATACAAGGGTGTTTGTCTTTAAAACAAAACACTAGAAAGATTAACTATGTTACTATTTCATCTATCATTATTATACAAAGTATAACAAATGTAAAGATTTTTCCACAGATTTTACCTGTTAACATTTATAGAACAACAGCACCTGATGTCAGTGAGATATCTATCACTGAGATGTTACAAAGATTCCAATACCGCAAAAAGAGGCATTCTTGAGAATCCACTTAGAATGCTGTATCAACATAACATTTACGACAATGTCTTGAAAATGCTGTCAATTAATTGATTCCGTAAAAGAATATCGGAGAGTATCCAATCTATACACATCATAAACGGTGTAAAAATGTTTCATGGAAAAAACAAAATAAAAAAGACAAAGACAAATACTAACACCATCACCACGGTGATAACAGATGATGCTGATTCAATATCTGCAACCAATTCTATCCAAATATTTGGAAAGCTGGACTCTACAACCTATACTCTACAACAAATACCCGGGTATTCTACAAACACAACCTCCAGCAATGTATCTAAGGAATGTAAACTTCTACAGGCCTTTAAAGACTTTGGATTACAAATACAATTACTATTTTTAACTTTGGATTACAATTCGTATCCGGATCTATCCAAGAATATCTTACTCTGGAACTTGGTGTTCTTTTCAATTTTTTCCCAGACAAAAGCTTTGCTCATTTTAATCAACCACCTTTACAGGTAAAGATCACACTACGGATGTTTTACTGTTACAACAATGATCAAAGATGCTGGGAGCACAAAAAAACCTAAAGACTGTTGGAGAACTTTGGTTCACTAATTTAAGGAAGAAATGTGCTACAATGCCCACAGTTTAATGGAGAGGGTGTTATGGGCAAATGCAAATATTACACGTTTTAGAATGAAATGTTGTATTTCTTAAACTGTGTACTTTGTCTTTAAGAGATATTGCAAACTGACAAGGTGTTAGAAATGGAACATATTGTTTTTCATAACTGTTCCTTTAGGCAATAACCCCAGTGCATAATATGTTTGCGCCATTTTGTCCCAGACGAATTACAATAACAATAATGCATAAACAAGCTTCAAGGCTATACTACGACTCTTGCAGTACACAATATACTGTGGTAACCCCAAGTTAATGGAACTTCCCCAAATCCGGGAATCTCCCACGACTGTACACTTACGACTTAGTATAAACAACAGATAACCTATTCAGACTTTAAGATGCCATCTTGAACTAAGTCAGGAAAATTTCCATGACGTATACACCCTTTAGTTATGGCCTTGTATGTTTGCCAAATTAAGGGAGGTCCTAAATTGAATAAAGTAAAAGAAGTGTTACTTTTTCATATTTGAACTACAGTAACCTAAAATGGAGACACCTAAGGTATAAATAGGTGTACTTTTAAATGTTAAGACACAGAGGAGAGACTTGGAGACAGACGCTGCTCCATCTTAAAATGACAGAGAGGCTGACATGATGACATGTTCAGAAGGGTATGTTAACCTATTAATGATATTTGCAAGCATGTAATTTAATCTTATAAACTCTGCTATAATGGATTTTATATTTTTATATAATAAATATCCAAAAGACAATCTTGCTTCCAAGACAATCCTTATTTTATATTGTATTCTCAATTATTTATATCTGTTAAATAGAGGATCTCTTACACTATATAAAATTATGGCTAAGATATCTGTATGGTTAGCCCTACTAAGTTCTATGCTTTAAGACATTATAGTGGTAAATAAGGGAACCACACACGGTTACAGGAGGTAGAGACTTGCTTGGTGTGTGCACCATGGACAGATTCTGTATCGTAATGGAGGGAGTTAAACGTCTTCATTTCACATCTGAGTCTGAAAGGGCTAGTCTTATAGCTACAGCAGTTTCTGTGAATCACTGCGGCTATAGCCACAGCGGGCAGGGACACTGGGACAGGGGAACATCACAACCAGAACAAAGCTCTTTTAGAGATTAGAGTGGGGGTTTAATAAAATAAAAATCCGTACTTTTATTGAATTCAGTACCATGGACAGGGTCTGCTTCGATGCTGCAGTGTGGAGTCTGGAATGTCACTACCTAAAATGTCATATTGATAGTTACAGAAATTAAGACTAAATGCAGACTTAACTAAACAGAGCTTGCTACATATTTAGTAATTTATTTATATATCTCCTAGGTCTAATGAACCAAAAAATGGTATTTGAAATACATTGTTGCCCAAAGTAGGGCAAGTTAATGCAGCATGAGTGGGGCTGGGCTGTAAGTGATGTAACCCTGTTTTTTTGTAAAAACATTCGAAAATAATTTGATACAAAACAATAACCGCTGTAATGAGCTACACTGGTGAAGGTACTTAGATGCCTCTTTAATTTTTTTTTTTTGCCTTTAGAGAAGCAAATATATCACATATGCAGTGGATATTATTGTAATGTATTTTTAGATATAGCATGCTTATATTATGTTTTATTGCTTTAAAAAAAAAAATGAATCTTTGAACAGTTCTCACCTTGAATATTCAATATGTCTTGAAGCAATAGTTCTCAAAAGTGACATTGTGAAACTAGGAAAAAAAAAGATTTCAGGGAAAAAGCGACATAACTCATAATGTGATTAGAATACTTCTTATAAGGAAATATTGCTGCATTGCTTGTATTGAGAAGGAGGGAATAGGATTACTCTGTACAAATATAAATTCAAGGGCAGCTTAGAGACTCCACATTGACATTTCTTCTGAAGGACTTTTCAAACGGTGCGCATTCAACCTCTGAGATATTCTGAAAGGCAGCTGTAGCTATCGCAAATAGATCTTTACAATGAGTTATGGAGCATTCGATGTAGGTTTGTTGTAGTGTCAGCAAAGGCAGAAATATTCAAAGGGTTAATATACCTCAAAATTATATCATTCTCTAAGTTTCTCCATAAGAGTGTCCCTTAAAGAAACACTATAGTGTTAAGGTTACAAAACTGTATTCCTAACACTAAAATGTTATTCTGGATCTGTGCCCACCCACCTAAGTCCCTTCCCAGCCATGAAAGGGTTAACTAACCCTTTAAACACTTAAAGGATGCTGGGTAAGACTCATCCGCCTCCAACATGAGTTGATGGTGGGAACCTAATGAGAATGCGCTGTGCCTGCACATTAAGCCTTCCCCATAGTTGAGCACTGACTCAATGCTTTCCTATAGTGATTAAAAGGACGCTGGATGCAAAGCGAGTTAAACTGCATAAAACAGCAGGAAGTTCCGTTAGTGGCTGTCTGGTAGACAGCCACTAGAGGCAGTCTAAACCCTGCAATATAAACTCTTAGACTCCGCCTTGAGTCTAAGAAAGTAAGGCAGAGGAGAAATACAGAGACAAAGTAGTCTCTGTGTCTGTATATCTTTTGATTGGGTTGACACAGTCAAAATGAGTTTCATTACGATTCTATCTTTATAAAATACTCATTTTTCAGGGATGAAAGACAATGCCGCTTTAAGGACTTTCCCTATTCAACTGTTTCTACATAAAAAAAAAAAACAGTTACATAAAAAAAAAAACTATTTTAATATAATCTTATCATATTAAGAAATTCCATTTTCTTTTTTGTTGATAGCATTCCTTTAATATGCATTACCTCATCTCTAATTGGTTAGTAATCAGGGAGATTAGCATCTCACTAGCAAGATCTCCTGGTACCTTTTCTTAATTATGAGATTGGTTATCACTGCTTCCCGCTCATCAGGAACGCACTAGCAGTGAGTATGTCTCCGTCAACGTGATGCATCTATTGTTAATTATCCTTTATCTTCTGTCCTCCATATCATTCTTTCAAACTCGATACATCTTGCATCTGCTGACCACGTGTCCTGTTTGAAATCTTCATGTTTTCCGTTGCACCATTTCCTTACCTCATCTTCCTTTACTCTTTCAGAATTTTTCTTCCCACATATTCCATCTCTCATCTACTGTCCATTTACCACACCTTGCCCTATTCTTTTCTTTGTTTTTTTTCATTCATGTTTGACTTTGCATTGTTATTATTATATACACTATAATTTTTTTTCATTCCTTTAAACAACATCAATACATTTTGGTGTACTAGTCCTATTTAGTAAATTGTGCTATAATACCCTTTATAACCTTTAGTTTTACCTACTGCAAAAAAAACAACCTAGTACGATAAATTTTGAAAGCCCTGTTCGCACGCTTAAAAATCTTTGAAAACTTCTA